TAACGTGGGTCTTTGATTATTATGCAATCTTACTTTCGTCAACTAGAAATATTTTACTTCTCAGTGATTTCGTACACTGCTTATGTCGTCTGCAAACATTTTGTTACTTTGGAGCCTGGAGTCATGAACGTTGGCTGGGGCTTTTAATATTGTATTATTTTACATTTTAGTTTTGTCCTAATATTGATTGTATTTTGTTAAATACAATATACTGCTACTCTACTGACTGTGTTTGTTAGCCCATATATTATTTTACCTCTCAATTAACCAATACTAAAGACATTTTTGTTTTAAGATAAACGCTTAATACAAATCCATACAAAGATAAAATAAAATGCTATAGGCTATTTTAGCCTTTGATAAAAGTATGTCAATCTATTAAATTAACCAGCTTTTAGTGTATGAGTTAATTGTAACCAAAGATTAAACTAACCTAATACCTTACTACTTAATAACTTAACTTTAATACTTTACTTTGCTTTTAGTGTATGAGTTAATTGTAACCAAAGATTAAACTAACCTAATAAATTAATACTTTAATACTTTACTTTGAAATGGACCATACCAATGTGGGTATTTCCAGCCAAGAATTAATGTAGATGAGTGTAGGATGAGGGGCGCAACATTTTAGTTTTGAAAGGGACTAAGGCCGACATATCCCCATCGATCTCTATTATAATAGAGATCGATGCATATTCCTACAGCTGTAAATAGCCAATACAGCCAAAGGCAACTAAGGGGCCTAAGGGGGTTAACAGGGGAATTCGTACCACATTTTTGCCTTGTAATTAACAAATTAGTCTAATTATCAAGGTAATAAAAATGGATAACATGTGTGATAAATTAAATGTAAAATGTTTAACCTCCTTGATAAAAACATTCTGATACACGGATGGAAAATAAGGTTTTTTAATTTTATTTCAAAACTATTTACAAACACTGATATTGATTTAATGATGTAGTGATGTAACATTTTCATCAAACCACGACTGAAATACTTAACACACCCTTTTATGGAACATAACCCATAATTTAATATCTTAAATTAATATTTAATATTTTAATTTAATATTTTTTTCATAATTTATTTACCACTCTTTTTATGATTAATCTGTTTGATCGTATCGGTGGTCCAAAAATAACTCAGGGGGTAGGGGGAGGGCGTTTGATTATGTTGTATCGGTGGTGTAAAAAAAAACTCATGAGGGGGGCCCAAAATATAAGTTTGCAGGGGGGCCCGTAAAAATTTGTTACGCCACTGCATCAAACATTATTGAGTGAGTATTATGTAGTGAGAAACATAGTTTAGTTCAAAATAGATTCTGGCGGTGGAAAGTTTTGGCCACCTGACTACAAAAACAGCTGTTTTTGGCGATTGACAATTAAATTGTATACAATATTAGTACATATTCTGAAACCACAATAAATTCCCTACAATTCCCTCTGAATCTATGAGGTTGGTTGTAAAAATTGTATTTATTTATAAAAATGTCATAAAAATTATGTTTTTGTAAAAAAATCTTGAAAATTTTACATTCCGACGTAAATTTCCCCGAAATTAACTATTATTTTCAGAAAGATCTTTTATTTCCAATTGTACAGTAGGTACCATTTTATTTTTTGTTGATGCATTCTATTAACTTATTTCCTACGTGACAAAAATAATTTGGTAGTTTAAAAAAAAATAAAAATATGTATGTAGGCCTAGAATTAGATTTTATAATTTTATTTTTACGAGTATTTAAAAAACATTGATATTTCTACGTAGGGAATCATATTCACCTTTACATTTAGATAAAACATGTAAAAAAATTATTTTGTGATTTTCTTGTGGGTTGCTTTTGAAATTTTTAATTTGCATATTCTTAATCCAAAAATTTGCAAACCTTTTGCTACTACGCCTAAACGCATTGGTAGGAAAAAATTATTTTTTTATTACTACCTATTCTACATTTATCACTGAAACAGAAAATATATATATGTTTGTATACTTATATTCACAAATAAATGTTCTGTGGCAAAATATATGGTACAACTACAAAAGCACCAAAATATACCCGCCACTGGTGAATAAAATGACCGCCAGATCTAGGGTTTAAAAATAAAAGCCCAGATGAGGGTCCTACTTTGAAAACATAATTAGGCCTATTGCCATCAAAGCTAAACTTGCCATCACATTTTGTTAACTTTTGTTTAACCCTCGAGCTTGCAGAGTTTTCCTCCGCACTTGTAGTTTTTGTTAATATAAATATGCATAATGGGTGTCCGCAGTCGTGTCCGGCTCTACACTTCACGCACCTCATCCTGGGAATGCCCCTAAGCTATTTTTACCACCGAATTCCTCCTCATTTTGTTGTCAGTTGCAATTCAGTGACGCAGTGTCAGTTTGCGGAGGTTACTCCGCGTGCGCCCTATCGCCTAAGTCCTTAGCACAGAGCTTATTTCCTGAATGCGCTATTGTCAAACTGCGTGTATATTTTATGCATACAAAATTATAAACATGTTTAAATGTATTTTTTCATTTATAATTATTATCAAATATATTTTGTTTGTATGCATAATATGTAAATTGCATTATTGCGGAACATAACTCTGCATGCGCCCTCTCTCGTAACATACCGTACCTTTAACTTATACTAGAAAATTGCTCAATATGATTATTTGAAATATTAATCATTTAAAGTTTAACAAATATACATGTTATTAACAAAGAAATTAGGTTTCTGATTAGATTATTCAACATTTTAATAAATAAAACATATCTACTAATGTTTTGTACCTAAATATTAGTAAACTATAATAATCTTAAATAGGCTAAAGAAGCTACTTACTTAGCCTACTTACCCGCGAAACCATACTGTAATTCACATGAAAGCTGTTTTTGACCCACAAGCAAACAAAATTTAATAGGCCTTAACCATTTAAATTGTTTGCAATGTTGATGGGAAATATTAAATTTAAAAATAGCCCTGCAAGGGCCACCTGCAGACTAGAACCCTTTTATAGGCTAAGTACCTAATAAATTACCTACTTATATAAAAAAAACTTAACTTAGGCCTAGGCCTGGTACAATTAAATTAATTAAGAGGATGAAAGAATAGGCCTAGCTCTGATTTTAAATAAATTTTAATTTTGCATGCCTGTTTCGAACCAAGTGAATTGATTAGCATAAACCAAACATTAAGTTATTTTGCTACACTAGGTAAATAGGACACCATCAAAATAATAGGTGCAAAAATAGGCAACAATTCCAAAGGTGTTAACGTTAATAATTCTACTGTGCCTACACCTAACTTACCTAGTTCTAGTCCACTATTCCAGTAATGAACAAAAGATAATACAGTACCTAATAATAATTGTTGTAGGGAACTGGCACTACTACTACAACTCTAGACTGACAGCTCACTCAACCAACACTAGCTCACTAGCTGTTCGCTGTTCCTGTTCGTTGCATTTAATTATTGGCGCTCGCCGCTCGCGTGACGTACCGTAAACAAAACAAGTACTAAAACTTTAAAACAATCACAATGACGATCACTGATAAGGTGATCAAATGGTAGTGACTTGGACTTGACTAGTGTAGTAGTTAGTACTAGTAGTGAGTGTGTGAGTTTTTGTTCTTGTTTTAATTAATTGTGGTTGTGTTGTTTAAATTCTACTACTGTATCTCTTCTCCTTCTAGTCCAGCTGACAATGCTCCTATCTGACACGTGACAGTGACAGCGAGTAGTGTGAACTGTGACTGGGAGGGAATGGGCATACGGGCGGTGGGGCACACGGAAGATTTCGCAGGTACCGTTTGACGTCACTAACTGCTGACGTCACTAACTGCTGCGTCTGAAGAAACCGACAATTTTATCATTTTTCTATTATTAAATTAAACTGTCATAACCTAACCAAACTAACCAAAAACTAGCCAAAAATCGAATGAAGGTTTACTAATCTGAAATTTATTCATCAAATAAAATTATAAATGCCTCAAATTCAATTTTATAATTTTTTAATTATAAAATTAAACCGTCATAACCTAACCAAACCAACCAAACTTGCTGATATGAAACAAATTGTTGACAAAATGTTAGTGCTACCAGCGGGATTCGTACCCGGTACATTCGGATTATCAGCCCGACACGCTGACGCTATCCAATACACCACCGAGGCCGATGCCTCAAAACCATGTCGTTGCGGTAATGTAATGGTGTTCCCTCAGCAGTTCCGTCAGCAGTTAGTGACGTCAAATGGCACCTGAGAAATCTTCCGTGTGCCGTTTTGGGCATACGCCGGGAGGGACGATGGCCAAAGGTGTGGTGACGTCATATCTATAGTGTAAAATGTCTTCTCTTGAGGCAACACGATTACCGTAACGAGACATATTGAGATTCCAGTGGCGTTCGTGGTATAGTTACGTGGTATAGCAACCTATCCGGCTTTGCTGGTCTCGGTCAAGGAGGAGGTTAGGTTAGGTTAGGTTAGGTTAGTTGGTAGCGCATCGGACTAATGTGTGGGAGGTCTCGTGTTCGGAACCCGTTGGCGACATTAACTTTTTGTCAAAGATTTTGCTTTATTTGATTTTTATCTTATATCTTTTGTATATTATCAGCAAGTTTGGTTGGTTAGGTTTAGTTATGACAGTTTAATTTTATAGTACAAAATTTTAAAATTGATTTAATAATTAAAAATTATAAGTAAACATTCATTTCATATTTATCTTATATACCTATTTTTTATATTATCAGCAAGTTTGGTTGGTTAGGTCAGGTTATGACAGTTTAATTTTATAATTAAACAGTTAATTTCATAACTAAAAATTATAAAATTAACTTAATTTAAATTTTTTAACTTAGCGGTGAACGCTGACACTATGTTAGCCATCGTCCCTCCCGTGTGTCCCACCGGTGTGATCTGCGTCCGACTTTATTGGACGGTTAAAGTCACGGCCTTCGAAGGGGCAACACTGTAAAGTGCTGTTACAGCTGTTTTGTTCGGTGGCAGCGGCAGCTGTGAGCTATTGTAAATATTGTAATGTTTTCTAAGAATGCGAAAGCTTGGTTGGTTTAGTGGTTACGGGCTATGAAAATATTGACTCTGTTTTTAATGTACCGAAATAAATTTTCAATTTATACTGTATATTTTTTGGTTTAGAACACTATATGTTTTATATTAAATATTTTATTAAGTTTATATTCATAAATTTAAATAATTAATAATACGCGCAATTAATTATTTACCTATCTGCCATGTTAGCTTATAGGATGGGGATCAGGCCTGGCTCTTAAGTCTAAACCAAAACCATCAATGTATACATGTATATTGTAATTGTAGTCTAAACAGCACTTACTGCTTGCAAGTGCGACGTTGCTAATTATTATTCTATCTAGGCCCAGGTCGCAGCCTGCCTAGAATTAAATGTGGCTGTGTGAAAGCTCACAGATTTCTGTTTCAGTTACGGCAATAATATGAATTATATAATACAATAAATGGCTTATATTTTTAGACACTCAACTCAATGGTAAGTGTATTATTTTTACCATTCTCAACTAATGCTGTAATCTGTCCAAAAAGTGTTGCCAAGAAATAGTTTTAACATTAGCCATATTTGTTAATAGAGAGTGACAATAACTAAAAGTAAATTAAACAGAAATCTAGGCGTCTAATTGGCTTGAAAGACTGCCAAATCGTTCTTTAAATAGAAATGTTCTTTAAGAAGACGCCAAATGTTTATTTTCTTCCACGTGAAGTATTTTTTTGTAATGAGCCATGTTACTGCAACCTAAGTGAAGTGGCATAATTGTCTATGCTATACATGCATGTGTGGGTGTTCGCGAAAACGACAACTCTCTGGTAGTTTTGGTCTGATTTTGATTAAATTTGGCATGAATGAGCTGGATCTTGACCATATTTGTTGTACTATATGCAGGTTAGAGAAAATTCCAAGAAACTGTATATTTAAAATTCCCATGTTATTCTTGAGGAGAAAAAAGAGAGTTTGTAGTTTAATTATTAATGGATGTATTATGTATTTTGATCAAATTTATATACCATCATAGATTAGAGTAGGTCTAATCTTTAATCTATGACAATAGGTAGCCTATACCTTCCTGGAGCAGCTAAACTTAAGTGCTCGTCAACTCTAATGTTATTTGAATTTGGAATGGATGTTTATTACTGTTATGGAAATATTTGAGTTAAAATCCAATCGTAAAATGAAATCTGCTTAGTCTGCAGGTTTGTGCGACGGAGGTAATTTTTCTTTGAATAGGTCTTAATCTGTACCAAATTTCTATTCCCAACAAAATGCTGTTATTAAATAAAAAATACCCTTACCGCAGCAAACCTGCCGACTAAGCAAATATCATTTCTCTGAATTATTTTCAATTAAATCTATTTAAATAACATTAGGTTTAACGAGTACCTATAGGTTTGCTGCTACAAGGAAACTGAAACTAATATAGTGTGTTTTAGTAAAATATTAATACGGTAGCTTAAAATAAATAAATTTACCAAGTTTGATCAAAATTATATCCATAAACAAGCAAACTACAACATTTTCAATATTCTGTATAAGAATAACATGGGAATTTAAATTTAAAATTTTTTGAATTTTCTCCGTTACCAATGACCGTACAAAAACCGTTTTTTTTTTTCAAGCTCTTTAATAAGGTCTAGAGATAAATTGGAAAATTTTGTGTTTTGAGGGTCAAATATGAGAAAAATCAATTTTTACCCCCTAAAACCCCAGTAAAATTCTGTTCCCATGGTCCGATCATGCTGGTTCGCAAACTCATTCAAGATTATCCCGCCTTACACCTTTAAACCAAATTTCATCAAAATCGGACAAAAAAATTACTCAAGTTATCGCATTCATTGACACACACGTGCATATATATATATATATATTTGAACGAATGGTGTTTTTGCGGCAAATCATGAATATTTCATTGGACTTTACATTATCTAAAAATTCCCGACTGTGACAAAAAAAAAGACTATGTGATATGCAGGAAACCCCCTCACGCTCCATAGGTTACCCTGCATATGCACATGGGAGCGTACCGTAGCTTTTTAGCGAACCCGAATCTTTAATCTTATACTTCTGTTATGAGCTGGGTAGCTGTTAAGAGGACCAGATTGTATTCACAGAACTGAATTTTATTGTTTTTAAGTAATAACACAGTGACAGTTATTTCTAAATAGCCTACTAATAAATGCCTGGTAGGAACCGCTCTGAAGGCAGCTAGAACCTTAAATTTATAATCCCTAAGAAAACGAATCTATTTCCCTCGTGATCTAATTAAATACAATTTCTGACCCCAAAAGAACTCTTCTTATTCAAACTCACCAAACCCAATTATCTCACAATCCCTTTAAAACAAAACTTCCCCCTACAAAAAAACTCGCGACTAAAGGGCCTAACCCCAAGACAGAGAAACCAGTACTCACCCAACTCTCCTGGGCACCTTGCCCCGGGCAACTGACCTCTTTCTCTACCTCAGGTGGCCTATTGACCCGACAGCTACTGAGTGCAAAGCACCCAGTGCTTACCAAAACACCTCCAGCACGCTTCCTAGTTGGCAAGGTCCCTTCCTATCTATAATTAAACTTCTACAACCTCTAATTTACATATGTATACAAATATAAAACCCATATCTCCCCTTACAACTACATCCCGACTTTTCAAGGCCATTTTGAAATTCAATACTGATACTCGTCTCTCCCGACTACTAGACACCATGTGTCAAACATTTCATCACCGGTCATGTGACCTTGTCAGTTGTCGGCCGCTAAAAGTGAAAATGTGTACGTAGTGTTCATCTTGTTTGCTGCAAAATTTATCCCAGAGAACTTGACTGATGAACAAAAGGAAGTAGGCTTAAAGCTCTTCAAGACATGCTGGAATGCATTCAGAGTGACCCAACTTTCTCAAAACAGTTAATAACTTGTGATGAGTCATGGGTGTACGGTATCTATATGATTCTAAGGAATATGTCGGCCTTAGTCACTAACAAAGACTACAAGATCGAGCCACTCATCTCCATTCATACTTGGCTTAAAATACCAAATAGGACCGTACCTACATTCGTATGGTCGCCATTTCAAAGTAAAGTATTAAAAGTATGATACCAAAACCAAGGTGCAGTCTTTTCGGTGAAACACTCAACATCACCGTGACCAAAAAGCACGTCAAGTTTGAAGCAAAATAAAAATCGTGCTGACTGCTTTTTTAACTGTAATGGAGTAGTTTATAATAAGTATGCACGTGAAGGACAAGACATTACTAAAGAGTTCTACTTAGAAGTTCTACACCACACGCATGCTTCGCAAGTGTCCCGATTTGTGTGCTACCACATTCCTGTGCTATGCCATGACTCCTACTCCTACCCACCGGATATGGCACTGTGTGACTTCTGGCTGTTCCCTACCTTGAAGATATTGCTTAAAGGGACCAATTTCAGAGCAGAAATGAGATATGCAATGTTACATGTCATTTTTAGACCATTCACTTAATTCATTCTTTAGTTATATAATTCTACTTCTTTTATTGTACCAAAATTCACCATATAGCCTATTTAAATAAATTGTCAGACAATTAATAGTAAATTTAAATTATATTATCCTTTAATCACCCCTCAGAAACCATCATCACATTTTAAAATATATTGTTTAAATTCAACAAATTATTATTGTTGATAAAAACCTGTAACCTGTAATTAAGTCCATAGTTGCAATAACACTTTAATCCAAAATTATTAATATAGTACTGTATAAATTATTTCTAAAACCCCAACATTGAATTAATATCCAAAAGCCTGATTATTAGTGTATGTGCAGGTGATGAAGAAAGAAGACAGCTGGCTTCAACAATGAACAATGAACTGATCAACATCCTGTGTGAAATTAAAAATTTTCCTCCTCCTCTATTGAGACATGGCAGCTTAAACACCTTGAATTCAGTGAGGGTATAATCCCTAACATTTAAAAAGTCAAAGTGATTAAAATTATTTAACTTAACACTAACTTAACTACAGAAGAACAGTTTAGCCTTTTCTATATATTTTATTTTTCTAAATTTGTACTGCCACCTGAGATTTATATTAATTGGACACTGTTACTGAAGATCTGGTGAGAACTCTCCATTTTGTATAAGGCTTATCTTAACTTCAAGAAATTCAACTTAATACAGACCTATTTTATTTACTTTCTGATCAAACCTAATTATTTGAATTCAAAAACTACTTTATTTTCATTAAGAATAATCCCAGAAAAACAATTTGAACAAGAGAACTAAATTCAACTTTGATAAATTTTTCACATTCTAGGCCTATTCATTGTTGGACTATTTAACTTACCTACCCAAGCCTAAGGGCAATATCAAAATTCCATTTTTCATAATAATTGACATGTTTTATTTTTCATAAAAATATTTGAAGATCTTTTTAGCCAGCCGAGTTCCCCTCCCTGAGAAGATTTATGTAATTAAACTTATATCTTATTGTAAACTCATTGTTCTGTTTTACTGAGCTAGGCTAAACCAATGATGGCGACCCTGTATCTGTTCATTTAAATATCAAACCCATTCATCATTGTAACATCCTAACTTATTCTTTGTTCATTAAATTGGTGTTGTAAAGAAATCCTTCAGCTTAATCATTTGTCTTTCTGTATATTTAATCAGAGGCTTAACCTTAATAAATAGTAAGTAAAGGTACAAACCTGAACCAAGTTTTATTAGTCTAAATTACAAGCACTACCAATAACAAATTTTGTAAAACATATTCAACCAATTGGGTAGTGATAAATCATTTTAAACGCTTTTCTGAAAGCTTTTCTGAAGTCCATTAAGAAGGAAGAGCTCAAGACTTATTTCCACAAGTGAACGGTTACAGAGTTTCAAAAGGTAAAAAAATTTACATTTTTAAAACTTTTGAAATCTTGACTTCATACTATGGAAACTAGTTTTTGCATACAGAATAATATTTGTATAAAGGCATTTTTTTTATATTGGTGAATCCTTGAAAGAACATCAACATTGACCTCTTCTCAATGGGTGCTTCTTTTTAATGAAAAGGAAGATAATCATTCTCATTATGTTGTGCTTCTTTATTGTAGGCAAAAGCAGAACTGTGGCATATGTCAATACCCCCGCCGCAGCAAACCTGCAGACTTAGCGAATTTCCATTTGCCTGATTGGATTTAAACTAAAATGTCTCCTTAAAAATATCACATTTATTCCCTATTTAAACAGAATTAGTTTAATGAGTACTTAGGTTTGCTGCAACAGGGAGGGTAAAAAAGTTTTTTTTCATGTAAAATGTTAAAAGGTACTGTGGTTTGGTAAGAAATTAATGTATTTTCCAAATTTGATCAAAATATGTTCATAAACAAGCAAACTACAACAGTTGACTTATCCTCCATAAGAATAACATGGGAATTTTAAAATTACAATTTTTTTGAATTTTCTCCATAACAATTAGGCGCATAATAACGCTTCATTATACTAAATTACCATATTTTTTTTTAAGCTCTACAAAATGGTTTAAAAATAAATTGTGAAATTTTGTGTTTTTAGGGTCAAAAATGGGAAAAACCTATTTTTACCCCATAAAACCCCCCATAAACCCCCGTTTCCCATAGTCCGATCATGCTGGTTCGCGAACTCATTCAAGTTTATCCCGCCTTACACCTTCAAACCAAATTTGATCAAAATCGGACAATTATTCAAGTTATCGTGCGGATGGACACATATATATATATATATCTATATATAGATATATAAAAATTTGAACGAATGGTGTTTTTGGCCTCTGGGGACATCAAAATGAAAAAGTAAATCGGTCCCGGGCCTAGGTCTTACCATGAGACCTACGGTAATGGTAATAGCTACTTCCCTATAGGGAAATTCGCTAATACTTCCCTATAGGGAAATTCGCTAAAAGAAATATTTATAAAGTTCTGTGCTTAAATTTTTGTCTTCTTATTTTACCAGATTCAAAACAAGTTTATTCCCAGATCAGACCAATTTTTCAGTTTACTGTTAGATGAGAACAATCCTAATAAATATACCTGAAGCCCAACAATAACGGTGAAAGGAATTAGGAAAACATCAATTTAATAAAATATAGACATGATTTATTCAAATACTAATCATTTAAACATACATTATTGGTCACTTTCAAGATAAAAACAACTCTATGTTACTTGGACATTGTCTTACGTAAAAATATTACAATATTTATTTACACAGATATAACACGATTAATTAAATGCACCGAGAGAAAAAATTCTGGTATAATCAAAGCACTAAAATACTAATCTGAGTGAGAGTAATAAATAATTATACCATAGACAAAAAGAATTAAATATAGACCGACAGCAGTGCTTCAGTTAGCATAGCCTATGTTCTGGCGTCCACCGGTAGGAAGGAATGCCGTGCTGTTACCGCGCACACTGCTGCAGCGCAAGTGTGGTAGATCTGGTAGCAGACGGTAGCGAATTGAACACCAAGCACGCTCTAGCGGCACATCGCGGAACTTTCCTTTGACAGTCTATATTTATTCCATTTTGTCTATGATTATTGATTATACTATGCATATGTTTAAATGAGAGGCATAAATAAATAATATAGAAAATAAAATATATATATATAAGGTGGGTGATTACCATTTTGGCCATTAGGGATTAACAATTTCTGGCCAATTACAAATCTGTTACAATAATAAAATTAACATACCTTTATTAAATTGTCATTTAAAAAAATAAAACAATACCACATTTTAATATTTATTAATAATAATAATTTCTTGGGGGTATCCAACAACTTAAAACCAATCTTGTAATAATTAAGGAAAAGTTACATCTCCTGTGAAAGTGACTATTAATATAACTTTATTTGCTTCATGTTTATATTGCTTTTTACATTTATTTGTGTTTTTTTTATAATTAATACTTCCTCATAATGATGAAAATTGTTTGGACAAAATTAAATGTTGGTAATATCTGTTACAAAACTGAATGGTAATTAAATTATTTATGACTATTCATATCTTAAATGCAAAATGTGATCGATTGACTAAATGCACTTTAACAAATGAGTATCACTTGAGTACAGTTGGAATGAAACATATAGCAAATGGTCATTTAAAAATCTGTTACCCGTAACAAAGGTATTTACCTTAAACTTACCTAACAGCTGCTTGTTTCCATTACCAAATTAAATTGAAAACAAGTAAAAAATAGTTTTTCCTACAGTCACCCGACAAAGTTGGCTTCCTTGTACTGTTTATAGTACAGAAAGCTGCTAATTGCTGCATATTTATACTTTGCCGTACGGTTTATACTTTGCCGTACGGTTTATACTTTGCCGCACATCAGGATTCCAACGAAACAACACAAAACAGCGTGGTTCTATTATGCACGTAATCCGTGTACGCTTGGAAATAGGTTGGCAACACTTAAAGATAATAATACTATGAGCAGCTGATTGACTATTATAACTACGATTTAACCTGTCATTTTGTGTTTATAGTTTCGGTATTTCTGAACTTACTGGACTTTTCTTTTTAACGTTTTTAAAACATTCCTACGATCTTAATAAACAAGAAAATACCTTTAAAGCATTTTTTTAGGCATGGAAACCACTTCAAATTACAAAAACATACGGAACTATATTCTCAAAACGCGGAGCACATTTCTTGCCGAGGAAAAATAGCGGAGTGATACGGACCGCGGGTACTACTATCTCTAGGGCACCATTTGTGTTGCCAGCTGAACCTAAAAACGTGTTGTATAGTGTTTGAAAGACTAATTATTTATATGCTTTAAAGTGACTGTAGGAAAAATATAATGTGTAACACGAGTGAAAAAGGCCTTTGCTTCACTCGAGATCATTCCGCACTCGCCTGCGGCTCGTGCGTAAACATTGCTCTCGTGTGCAGCAAAGTGCCACTTTCACCACTAGTTACACAAATAACTATTGAAAGGTTATTTTTAAAGAAAACTATTTTAGTTTTGTAACATAGTTTGTTCCAATAACGGTGCAATATGACAAAAAATATAGTTTTCACCACACTATGATGTTTTTGGCTGTATTACATACGTTAATTGGTGGCTGAAAGTTACGTTTTGCTGGCCAGCTGCCATCGTAATTTGGGGACCGAGCAGGTTTTTACAGCCCGGGGCCGCAAAATCAGCTGTCCGCTTACTTACTTAAAACATGAATGCATTTTAAATACACAATCAAAATCCATAGCATTGCAATAGAACTGTGTTGTTGTCACCGTTGCCTAGCAACTATTTATTTTTATTTTTGCTGATTCCTCAAATTATTTCTTCACAAACCTTAAAGTTGTAGTTGTGTGACTATCAGTGTGCATTATTATAGTGGTGAATAGTGGTAATAGGGTTTAGTGTGGTGAAAAATAGCGTTTGTACCACGGACCGAAATGGTTTTGCAGCTCTCGATCGATTTAAGTGCTCGACTTCGTCTCGAAATTAAAAACTATCTCGAGCCGGCAAAACCTCATTTTCGGCCCTAGGTACGAAATATACTATTATCACACAGGAAAAAAGTGTGTTTTCAACACTCTCTCATTTTCTGACCTCGGGTTCATCTTGATCTTAAAACTTTTGGGTTGAAAAGAGTCAATTTAGGCCCTAGTAATAAAATATACTCTTAAACATAAAAACTAGGCTAGTGGTAAAATGTTAAGTCTTAATTCATAGTATTACAATGTATCTAAATAAAAACTATTATTAAAAAATACAAACACCTTTAAGTGAAAACTCAATAAATGTTTTTTGGCTTTAATCAGTAAATGATAACAATAATTATTTTAGTACCTACAAAGAAAAATGATAACATTTATACATAACCAGAATCTAATAATATGTAAACAGTACTCCAAACCCAATCAAGGTCCATTATATTTGTTGTCATACCAAATATTGCAATAATTAATTGATTTAATATTTCTTACACAATCCTCTTATCAACTCTGTTTATGGTTTGAGATTTTGATTAAAATAAAAATGAATGCATCAACATTATGCAACAAAATTATAATTATAATACTTTCCAAAAATTAATATCATTGTGGGAGGGTTTCCACCTCCAACAATCAAAAAGGTCATGCTTATAGAAAGGGGAATACAAAATATGAGTAGTAAACATAATCATTCTATCGAAAATTCACTAGAGCCCCGATAATCCGGAGCAATTGGGGAGAGGGAGATCACGGATACCTGAAAACCGTGGTTATAATCCAATATGGTTTAAAAAGATGACAGACCCATAAAAATCACCATAATACCATTGAGATAGACTTTATTGTCACAATTTGATTTTTTCCATAAAAGAAGTACAAAATTGCTCAATCATGATATTTTCAAGTCATAAATTCTTAGTTCAGTAATAAAAATGGTTTAGTTTAAAATTACAGCTTCCTCAAACCAAAAAATGTGCTTATAAATGCACTGCAATAAATCCCGTAAAGAACAAAACAAAAAATGTAATACTGCTAGTGATAGGCTACTGGTAAATGCTGTTTAATAACAGAGGAATGTCGATAATAATGAACCAACATTGATGTTGCTAGTTTAAAACAAATCATATTGGAGACAATATGACATTAGATAACTCATTAAAAGTATAAATTAGAAGTAATTAAAAATAAAAACAACACTCATAAAAATAAGATAAAGATAACAATGACAAAAACAAATTGTTATTTCTCTCTTTGTTCTACTGTTGTTTCTTGGCTCTCTCTTCATCCACACAATCAACAAGTTGCCATGGTTACTTATCACCCAATCACAGTCTACTATAGTTGCCAAGGATCACCCAATCACAGGCATCCTAGTGTTGTGTCATCACCAGTCCCCAGCATAATGAAATTTGTTGTGACATAGCACATAGTACAGACTGATATGTGAGGAGCGGACGATTGTCAGCACAAGCATGACGTTACCTTGGAACTTGATTGATATTTCTGTGTCCTAATTCTTATTTATTTGATTTCTTAAATGAACTGTGATATTTTGAAAACAATAATTAAGAAGCCAACTACATGTCAATAATGGACCAAAATCTATATACAGATCTATACTTATTTAATACGCAAGCAGGTTTTTTGTGACAATTACTCCTCCGAAACTACTGAACCGATTGACATGTTTTTGGTGTCATTGGAAAGAGCGTAACGTGAAGTTGTGCAGGAAACTGTCTTTTTAGGAAAATAATTAGAGAGTGAGGCCTGGGGGCCCTTTAAAGTTTCGTACTTCTCCATAAGATTAACATGGGAAACAAACATTGTTATGAAACTCCAGCTGTTGTCAGAAATGCTGTTCTGCTATTTAATTTAATTCGTTTACAAGGAGAATTGTTTCTTGGTGCCATGTGGTCAATGAATTATACTTTTGCACATCTATATATATATAATACGCTAAGCCGATTTTTGTAAACAGAACTCCTCCCACATTTTTGGACCGATTTTGATGATTAAAGTGTCAAGAAAATGGCCCTGATCTGTAGTTTTGCAAAGTGTTTTTGGATTTTTGAAATCTTTATTAGTTTGGGCAGGATCTTCCATCAAAGTTGGGTTTTCTCCCATAAGATTAACATGGGGAAATCTAAATATTTAATTGGAAACTTTGTCTCCACTAAATTGAGAGAACGGCTGGACGTAGAAACTTGGTAGAGGTCTCCAAAGAAAGGCTTGGTCTGTAGATGAGTAGTTATCAAAAGAAACATGAAGTGCTAAGCCGATTTTTGTAAACAGAACTCCTCCCACATTTTTGGACCGATTTTGATGATTAAAGTGTCAAAAAAATTGCCCTGATCTGTAGTTTTGCAAAGTGTTTTTGGTTTTTTGAAATCTTTATTAGTTTGGGCAGGATCTTCCATCAAAGTTGGGTTTTCTCCCATAAGATTAACATGTGAAAATCTAAATATTTAATTGGAAACTTTGTCTCTACTAATTTGAGAGAACGGCTGGACGTAGAAACTTGGTAGAGGTCTCCAAAGAAAGGCCTTGGTCTGTAGATGAGTTATCAAAAGAAACATGAAGTAAATTCCCTTAGGGCTCTGCCCCAGAAGCCTTTAAAGATACCTCGACAAATTTGTTAACATTTTGGCCATGTGGATAATACTTTTTAATGAAACAGCTGTTGATTTTTCAATTGTGTTTTTAAACAACACACATTTATTGGGAGTTACTAAATTGTCCAAAAGAAGTATTTGCAATGCTATTTTCTGATTTTAAAATTTATTTTCTTCTGTATCATGTAATGTTTTGCAATATAACATTCCATTACGAAATCAGTGGAAATTCCTTTTATCACAGAACTCTTACAATAATTTCTTATTGAACTATCTTATATCTGCTGTACGGGCTGTTGTCTGCCTTTTCCCCCACATTTGCCTATATTTTATCATACTATTCAACAGATCATCGTAGGTTCACAAGATTATTGTTATACATGTTTTCAATCATTGGAAAAATCTTCGATTGCGTAATACAATACAAAATTAAACAAGTGCAGAAGGGCACGTTGCCCATTTGAGCAGTGTCCATTTTGCTAAATTAATAGTAGTTTACAGCAACTGGATAAAACATTTTACAATATTTGTGTAGAAATATGTGCATGATTTAGAAAGTCATTAAGCTGTAAAACTGCAATTTGAACTCTTAGAGAGCCTTTGAATGTTATTAGAATAACGAAATGGGTTGTGCATGTTTACTAACGCTACTCAGCAACAAAAACCATTAAATTTATCTCTATTTGTTAAGAAAAACTTCAACCTTTTTCAAAATCAGTCTCGCCCTATCTCCTATGGTTTGAGAAGCCGGTCCGATTTGGATATTCCAAAGCACAAAACTGCGTTTTTTGAAAATCATTTATTTTGCAATGGCATTCAACTGTTCAATGCACTGCCCGCTCCCCTGAAGATGGAAAATAGTGTGGACAAATTTGGCAAAGGGGTTAAGAGTCTTCTTTTGTCACGCTGTTGTTACAGTGTAGAAGACTTTTAGTTTTTAGATTTTATTTATAAGAAATATTGTTTTTATTTGTAAGAGAAATTTTGTTGACGCTGTTATGCAGTTATAACGACTGTCAAATAAATAAAGATGTTTGAGTTTGAGTCAAAAAATATATTCTTAAAGTGCACTGAGCAGCAGCCTCGAAAATACTATGTAACTTACCCATATAGTTACAAAATGCTCAAACTCACATTGTGACATTTATAATTTGGCTTAGGCCCTATATTTCTCCAGCAGATTATTTATCTGCAGAAGAAGTTTATCGTGTGTAATAACATCCAAACACAGAAACCTGGCCTAAAATGGTACCTATCTTGACAAATTATTTGAAGTGGTCTATATTACGGACCGTGGCTCACTGGGTTGTTAACATGATTAAAAATAACCACGACATTTTGGCTGTAAAAAATACACAAAGAGTAAATACTATTTAAGCAGCTACTGTCATACAGCTACTGTGTACAGAAAGGTCATATTCCTTTTAAACTAGATCACATCATCCTTTATAAGATACGTTGTTTAACAATGCATGTAAACGTCAATATTTACGTAACAGCCAATTTACAGTATTTATTGCTTTTGCCAAATGCCGCATTGTTATGTAATTTGAATTATTTGTTGCCAATGAAGCCGCACAACCATATAAACGAGGAGGTCCCTAACAGTTCAAGAGTAAAAGCCAACTTCACTTCAAGTATATTCCACTACACCTAACTTTCAGTTGATGAATAATTAGCGTAAGCCTTGACAGTGACCGTCGATTTCGACGGGTTTCACCTAGTATTTTAAAATATACACTATATAAAATGATAGTACTGTAATACATTAAGATATCTTAATTTAAATAATCAATAAGCAGGATCGAGCCTTTGCCTATATGTTTCATGGTAAGTGTGGTGTAACTGTTTCTCTTAGTATATTTAGTATCTTAAAGTAACACCGAATTATTCTGTTCTGCATTCTCACCCCGTAGCGAAGCACGGGCAGAGCAACTAGTAGAGTTTTAGTTTAATATACCGGTACTGTAAAATGCATTTTAATACACTAGAATTAAGAAAAAAAAATTTTTTGGGCTATTTAGGTTATGTAACAGATAGCTAAATTATTAAGTCTTTGTCCATGTAGTCCTATAATTTAAGAGAGCAGAATGTGAATTCAAAAATATTTTTTTATCATGACAAAAAGCTAATGTATACCTAACGTCCTTCAGAAGATATGTACAGTAATAGAAAATTATGAGATACTAAAAATTTACTAATATCATATTCTTGTATGCATATAAATGTGTACTCTATACTTTTCCAATAACAATACCAATTTTTAAACTGTAATACAGTAAATATCCTATTAACAAATATAAAGTGGGTGAGGTCGTTTAAGATAACCTGTTTTTTCTTCAGTAAATGAATGAATGGTGTTAAAAGGCTATTTCTATTCAAAGAGATCTACAAAAGTAGATGTTTATTTTAATTACTTATTACTGTACATCTTAAATCTATAGCTGTATAAACATAAAATACCGTACAAAAAAAATAGTATAGTCTATTTAGTTATTTTATTTTATGTTTCTATGTCATTGGCATTTTTAATAATATTTAACAATTAATTGTTTTTCTGAACTTGATATTCACAGGGGTTGCCACAACCATGACTGGAGACTGCAAAAAGCCGCATTTACACTAGGGCAGTAAAGCAGGCAGGTTACTTGCCCCTAGTGCATTTTAGAGGTGGGCGTTATTTAACGTAATAGGATAAATAATACTATCACTGAAGAATCATCTACCTTCGTAATTGATTACTGAAAATACTCTATTATTTTTGTAACGTTTTCTGAATTGTTAGAACGAGTAAGTGAAATATTGCTGACCGTTTTATCATATTAATTAATAGTGAGCGCTAGGTAATAGTTTACTGAGAACCATTTTATTTTTGTAACAGGATCAGTTGCTGAGGGTCCAAATCCCGAAAAGTCTAATTAGTCCTTCGGCATACAGTGGATAAGTTTTCTTCACTGACTATACTTTTAGACCATCCGCTACTGTCCGTTTAGACCTTCAGAAACAAGTCCAAAATGCAAATTGTATGCCGAAGCAGCAACACTCCCTTTGTAACGTCATATCAACTGTTACATGCATAATGACAATAAAGGATTTGATTTGATTTGTTAGGACAAGGGAGTGAAATAACGCTAACCATGTCATCCTATTAATTAATAGTGATCCTAATATATTACTTAACACGTTGAGTTCGGCCGTTCCCAATTGGGTAGGGTGCGTCCGTACCCGATCGGAATTTGTTTTTGCTCTAGCGTCGGTTGAAGGCAGACCTATGCCAGCGTGTAGTGTGCGACTTGCTTTTTATTGTGGTGAAGGTTGGTAGTAAATTTCTCCGTAAAATCCCCGTCCGGCAAGCTTAAAAATCAGCTTGTTGTCCCATCTTTCTCCCACCAATTGGCAATACAATCACAATAGGACCGGCTACGTTCCAAGCAGTGCTGTGGGTGTTTTAGGGAACTACGTCTGCTCTTGTCGTAAAGCAGGACATCCCTGCACATTATTTGCTATTCGCCAGACCGAAATTTGAAAGCCAATCGCACATGGCAATTGGGTTTCTTTCCGACACTGCGGGCAGCGCCACACTGGGGATACGCCTGCCATTTGATGTGCCGCAGCGAACGTGTTAATCTAAATATATAAAAGGCAAAGCCCTCACTGACTCACTGACTGGCTGACTCACTCACTCACTCATTACTAATTCTCCCACTTCCCATTTACCTAGGAGGCTGAAATTCGGTACACCGATTCTTTGGGCATTAAATAGGAAAACTAAGTAGTTTTTATTCTGATCGGGCTTTCGGGCTCCGCCCCAGTGGCTCTGGAGTTTCCCATGTTAACCTTATGATTTTTCATATTTAAAAGGAATTAATGAATCTTAACAGCTGTTTCAATTAAACAAGTTGGTTCTGTTCTATGATGTTCAATAGCATTAACGTTACAAGGATTACAAACAGGGTGCAGCACTATTATTTTTTTTAATTTATGACAACAGCTAATTTGCAAATAAAAGGTGAGTGAGCGTAGCGAACGAACTTCAACTTGACGTGATTGAGCTATGCGAATACTTATGAAGTTAAACGGGGCAAAGCCCGCGGGTACAACTAGTGTATTAATATAATAGACGAACCTTTTTTTATAAGGCTTTCTGTTTAGTAATTATAAATCATTGCAGTTACGATTTAATTAAACCTCCTAAGGGTTTGAAAAATTAATGTTCCTAATTTATTAAGGATCAGTTTCGGTTTAGAGTAAATAGCAATATGTTTAAAAGATAACTTGATGCTGAAACCTTAAAAGTCTCACAGATAATAATTTAATTCTTTTTTCGTTCTCATGACGAATAGATAATGTAACAATAATCAAGGTGTAATAGAATTGCAAATGGAAGTAAAATAATAAAAGATATCCCCCTGTGATGGCAAGAGAACTGTGATGGCTGAAACGTACTGGAAGGGGAAGTAATAGGTGAAAAAATTTAATAGTATTATTTCACCTATTAACAAACAGAAACAGCTAAGGAACGTTCCTGACTATAACTGCAAAGTAACGGTATTTCCCATCTCTAGTTACATGAGGCAAATAACCTGCCCGCCAGCTGGCTTCAAGTAAACATGGCTTATGGGGAAGTGGCACATTAACTTTGGTTGGGATTTTAAAGGTAAAATTTAGGGGAAAAGTTTTTTAGACTTTTATGAATTCTTCAAGCTTATTTGAGAAAATAAAAGAATTCAGGTATTAGAGGAAGATAGTAAAGTTTTTTATTTACCTCTATTGTGCCTCAACTTTTCTCAGGAGAGCGAGTAAACTAAATCTTATTCCTAATCTTCTTTAACAACCATATGCCTTCCTAAAAATCCTATTACTCTGCTGAGTATTCAGGAAAATTCACTTTACCCTTACAACATTTGCAATAGAATATATGTACCAAATCAGACACTTATACAAAACTATTTTTGGATGAAAAATTAAATTAAACAATAAAATCAATACACACGATCATTGTTAGAGACGCAAATTAAAAAATATAGTCTCAAGCGATTTAAATGTTAGTATTACTAAGATACGTGTATTAATATAGTAGCTACAGGATGATGATATTGAGTATCACAAATGCAACTGGCGTTTGAAGCACAGTCTTTATATGTACATGTCTCTAAAAAGACACACTTGCAGCAGGCACAATTTAAAGTTTCACTCACAAACAACACTAGGATCATGTCAGCTCCTCTCTGGTGGTGGGAGGAGGGAGGAAGACAGGGAAGTTTTGCTGATGACAGTTGGCACTACTGCTTGTGTCTCGGTGTCGGATCACACAGGAGCCTACCCCCTTGGCATGGCCTAGCCCAGGCGGTAGGCTACGATATTTCAGGAGTTCCAGCGAGACTTCTGCAGCTCTATCTGTCCTTCCAGTGTCTTACCCAGGTATATCACAAACAGCTGCAATTGAAAAACAAACGTGTTGTTACTATGGTTAGAGTCACTATCCTCCATTTTAATTATTTCATTATATTATTAATAAAATATTATTGACAATACCCCCGCCGCAGCAAACCTGCAGACTAAGTGAATTTCTATTTACCTGGCTAGATTTCCACTCCACTATAATATTCCCTTAAATTTGACGATTTATTTCCTATTTAGATAACATTAATTTTAATGAGTGTAACATTTACTGTAAAGAATCTGGTGACTGGGTGATACTACTTGAAATTGGTTCAGGAAGACTGTGGACTAAGATAATGGAAGAGAGGTATGGATGCATGAGGATTGTGACAAGGAAATATATAAACTTATTAACAATACTATGAGGTTGAGAAATTAAGAAGGACTGTTAACTGTATTTTAAAGGATTTTACCCTGAGGTTGATCGTGCCCATTGCCGTTAACACCTTAAGCCAGCTTTTGATGAGCTGTGACTTTAGTAATTTATGACAAGTAAACCTTATAACTAACCCACTACCTGACTATGAAAGAATTGCATTTACAACATTAATAATTAATGAACTAACACTGTAAAATGGAAACTGATAGAAGTAAGGCAATCTAGCAATGAATTAACCGAATTGACAGGACATAAGTTTAATTATTGAACAATTAGAACCATGTGAATTTAGATTTTGTTTCGACAAGCTGATGTCGGCTTCCTTAAGGAGAAGACCGACATTTTAAGTTAGAAAACCTACATCCTAAACCCCCCTGATTTCTCCCCGGCAAACCCTAACTGAACTTAAACTATCTCATGATTGAATTGGGATTCCCTGATAATTTATGCAATACTTAGATACTAATACTTATTGGACAATATCACAAAACATAATTTAACAAGTTTTAAACGAACCTGAACACAGTGCAAACTTTTTCCTGACTTATTCTTATCCCTGTCCTCTCATTGGTCAATTTTAATGTTAGTGGAGAGGGAAAGACGCCACTTGGTCAGTTCCGCTTGTATCGTCGTACCGGCAACTCCCGTGTTTCACGGTCACAAACTATCAAACCGCAATTACCGCAAAAATATATAATTTTACCATTCAAATGCAGTAATACTTCGTAAAAGTTGTTTTTTAGTTCTTTTATAAACTTTTTAGACAGTGACTTTATTTGATTTTACCTTTCACTCGAACACGTGCTCGAGATCGTGCACAGACTTGTGACTTTTGTCGAAAAAGCGTGGTTTCTTTTAGTTTTTACGTACAATCTGGTTTGGTTTACAAGTGCAAGTTTATTTTGATATTTTGGAGAAAAGTGTATATGTGTCATCTTGTGCCATTTTTGACTGTACCATCGTCATCGCCCCCCCCCCCCCCCCCAGAACGTCACTTCAGTTCCCAAAGAAGGCGCCTTCTCCCCCCTGCTGAGTCGACTCTCCTCGCTGATCCCTGGACCACGTTGCTGAGAGGCCCTGTACCAGCAGCCACAACCTCCCAAGGACCAAAAGTGCAGTAGTATTATCAGGTACTGTGCTCCAATCAGAATATTACTTGCACTAATTCATTTATTAAGCAAAAGTTATTGTGAACTTTCACGGTGTTGTTTCTTGACAAACTCATTGACATTTGTAAATTCTGAGAAAAACCGGCGCATTGCTGTAACCGAGTATTTCGTTGCAGTTAACATTTACTTTCTAGTTGTCCGAGAATTTACTCAATAATCCTATACTCTAATACGAGCAATGTTTGCTTGTATGTATGCTTGCTTGCTTGCTTGCTTGCAGAAAGATCTCGAAAACGGCTCCGACGATTTTCTTCAAATCTTGTAAATAGTTTATTTTTGGCCTAAAAACAAGTTTCATGCAGTTAGAACTGCCAACAAAAATCTAATTACGTAGAAAAACGAAACTGAAAGTCACATTTTTTTAACATTAGTCTTATGGGTTGCTAAGTAACCATGTTGGTTGAATTAAATAACAAGGAAAAGGTAAACAAAAGACTTGAAGTTGTAGAACGTGTTCATAATAAACCAACTACCCACAGTATACTAGCAAATTACAAATACAGTACAAAAGGAAAAACATCACTTGTTAATATTGAGCAAAGATTATACTTAAGATTACTCGAGACATTGTAGTCAAGGGTAGCAGTGCGAAGTCTAGGATCTGTTTATGACGAATACATTAAGGTATCTGCAATCCTAAAATGCTATGGGAAGGGAAGGAAACAGGTCCGTGACGTAGGAAGTAGTGAAGGAAGTAGTAAAGGCAATCATAAAATGCTATGGGAATAGAGGGAAACAGGTCCGTGACGTAGGAAGTGATGAAGGAAGTAGTAAATGCGAGCAGTCCGGAGTGTGGGGACTGTTTATGACGATAAGATTAGGGTATCTGCAATCCTAAAATGCTATGGGAAGGGAGGGAAACAGGTCCGTGACGTAGGAAGTGGTGAAGGAAGTAGTCAAGGCGAGCTGTCCGGAGTGTGGGAACTGTTTATGACGATTAGATAAGGGTATGGGCTATCCTAAAATGCTATGGGAAGGGAGGGAAACAGGTCCGCGACGTAGGAAGTGGTGACGGAAGTAGTCAAGGCGAGTTGTCCGGAGTGTGGGAACTGTCTTAAAGTGCTATGGGAATGGAGGGAAACAGGTCCATGACGTAGGAAATGGTGTAGGACGTTGTAAAGGCGAGCCGTGTGGAGTTTGGGAACAGATTTATGTATCTCCGATACTAAGACTGCTTTCAGAGTGAACTAATGATTTTCTCCGAGCAAAGCTCGGTCCCCAGGTACTTATAATTAACGAGCGACTAAACTCACGTTCGGGAGTATATTACGGGCACATTAATCACTTATGTTTAGTTTTGAGTTTTCAGCGAGGTTTCTGGGTCGGCGACGTCAAGTCCGAGAAGAGGGGAAAAGGCGAACGAGAGAGATTTTACGTATCCTCGTCGTTTTTACCTCTATTGCCGTTGACAGCTGATACGCTTCGGCCAATAAGTTATTGCTCGCGCGCTGAGTATGTATGTATAAAAGTGACGCGCACGGCACATGAGTACTTAGGGTTGCTGCTACAGGGAAGGTAATGAGGTGTTCTAGCGAATTTCCTTATAGGGAAGTAGCTATTACCGTAAGTGGCATGTTAAGACCTAGGCCAGGGACCGATTTACTTTTTAATTTGGATGTCCCCAGAGGCCAAAAACAATATTTGTACAAAATGTCATATCTATATCTATAAAAGAGGAACTATGTATGTATATATATATGTATATACGTTATGGACTCCGAAACCGCTCGACAGATTGTAATGAAACTTTCAGGCATTATTAAGCATCTTTCAAGGATGGTTCGAGTGAAGTTTGGTGCAGATCCGTCAAAAGGGCTCTGCCCCAGAGGGTTTTAAGTGGGCCAATGTCAGACTTTTTGATCTAGAATGTTTACAAATAAATATAATTTAAAAGCAGATGTTTACTTTCACCAACTGTTTTGTAAGTTTGAATAACTACAACATTCTGTATTAGCATTAGTCATGATTTGAAATAGTGCCACAGCGTTTCTACAGATTGCAGCACAGAAAACTATTTTACTTTTGAATAAGTTTAAATGTATTAAACCCCAATCGCAGCACACCTGTGCACTTAACAACGTTTAAATTCTCCAATGTTAAATATTAAAACATAAAAACCTTTATAAAAGTACTGTATTATAACCAATAAAGGGATGACTTTTTTAAATGTATGACAACAGCTAATTTGCAACCAAAAGGTGAGTGAGCGTAGCGAACGAACATCAACCTGGAGGCGAGTAAGCGTAGCGAACGAGCTAACCTGAAAACAAGTGAGCGCAGCGAACGATTTCCAACCTGAAGGTGAGTGAGCGTAGCGAACGAACTTCAACCAGGACGTGATTGAGCCATGCGAATACTTATGAAGTTAAGCGGGGCAAAGCCCGCGGGTACAGCTAGTATGTATATATTATGTGTGTGAGTTCTTGAAGGTGATAACTCAAACCAGCATGATAGCACAGAGGTTTATGGGGGTAAAGTAAAAATTTGTTTTCCCCATTTTTGACCCTCAAAACATAAAATGTCCCAATTTCTCTCCAAGCCATTTTAAGGAGCTTAAAAAACAAATAATTAAGTATATCAAAGTGTTTTTGTAAAGTTATTGAATATAGAGAAAATGTTTAAAAATTGTAAATTCAAAATTCTCATGTTATTCTTACACTCAAACATCTTTATTTTTGACAGTCGTTACAAACTGCATAATAGCGTCAACAAAATTTCTCTTACAAATAAAAACAATATTTTTTATGGATAAAATCTAAAAACTAAAAATCATTGATTTCTTCAAAAGTCTTCTACACTGTGACAACAGCGTGACAAAAGAAGACTCTTAACCCCTTTGCCAAATTTGTCCACACTATTTTCCATCTTCAGGGGAGCGGGCAGTGCACTGAACAGTTGAATGCCATTGTAAAATAAATGATTTTCAAAAACGCAGTTTTGTGCTTTGGAATATCCAAATCGGTGGCTTCTCAAACCATAGGAGATAGGGCGAGACTGATTTAGAAAAAGGTTGATAAATACGAGACAGTTTAAGATATAGATTGACGGAAAAATAAGAATTTTATAGTTAGCAAAAAGTGTTTTACAGGAAAATCTACGTTGCTTCTTAAAAACTGTTCTGATGGCTTTCTTTTGTAGTTTGAAAACTCTTTTAGAATTTACACACTCATGTCCCCAAACTGCAACTGCATATGAAAGACAAGGAAAAACCAGTCCGTAGTAAGCTACCACTAGAACTGTAGAGTCCAAGAATGTTGCCAAATTTCTTAATAAGAATATATTAGAACTCAATTTATTACAGACATAATCTAAGTGGGGTGTGAATTTCAACTGGCTGTCGATGTGAACGTCCAGGAACTTAGTTTCAGAACAGGACGGAATGAAATGATTGTTGTCTATGGCAATTGACAGGGGTGCTGTGTTTTCTTTGTTTCTGATATGAAATT